TCAAAGAGGTTTAACGGGAATGATCGCGCTGACATCGGTTCCCCAGCTGTCTGCGTTCACAACTGAGTATAAACCCAAAAGCCAGCTGGTTTCCCAGGGTCTCCTCCTGGCAGGACGTCCCACAAACATCTCGTCTGGGACTCACCAACGAGGCATCCTCGTCAGGTCTTTGAACCTTGGCCGGGAACACAATAGGCACATTTCATGGCCATAGGTGAGCCTCGGCTCGTAGCTCAACCAGGAAATTTAACTTATCTTAGTGAATATGATTTCCAGGAACCAAAATCATTAATTATGATTTTTGTTTTTAATCAGGCAGCTTTATTGACATCGTTGCTTTGTAAAAGACGCGTGGAGCTTCCACCTCTGAGACGTTTACCCAACGAGTGTGCGCTGTGTCCACTTTTACGCCTCACTTCCAGCTGCATAACAGAGCTTCATCAGTGCCGACATCAATCGTTATCCTGTCTCTGGTTTGTGTTTTCACCGCTGTATGTGGCCGATGAGCTGTGACAGGCTACTGATTTAGCAGTTCATTAATGTGCCTGCGCCTGTACTCGCCTGACGTCAGAGTAAATGTCAGTCAGAGCTCCTCGTTAACAGCTTCTTCTGTCTCTGTTTGTCTCTGCAGGACTGAACACAGCGGGAAACGCCACACACACCTGACAGGTAAAGCTATTTCTGCTCTTCGCTAATTTAGTCACGCCGTCTGTTTGCTGGTAACGAGGAGCACGGCCGCAGACAGATGCAAACAGCTGCGATGGATCACAATTATCTTGTAGATCTGTGGCGCTCATGCTTGCAGAAACAATGATTACACTCATTACTGAAATGAATAAAAACTCTGCTTTTATTTATTTAACGATTTTCTTGGGACTCGATGGTTCGTGATTTCTTGCTGTAACATCTGATCTCAGTCTGTGGTGTCACATGAAATCTCTTTAAAACCACGACGTTGTCATCGTGGGGTAATGACGGATGAATAGCAGCTTCACCAAACTGCTATTTTTAACCTGTGAAAACAAGATGGGAAGTTGTAATCACAATCACAGCCTGTTATCCCAGGATAGCAAGATCACAGAGCTGTTTGACCGAGCTCTCTTTAACCGAAAAATGGAGTGTGAAGGAAAGAAAGGTTAGAAAAACTCCAAAAATGAGACGTAGACTCGCAGTGATGCAGATGAGGAGGTGAGGCTGAGCGTTGCCGGGTTGCGAGCCGGTAAGAGCCAGGGTTTTAATAGTTTTGCAATTTTCATTAGTTTTTATTTTTATTTAGTTTTGACTTCAGATTTTCAA